ATTTTTATGTAAGAAAATTTATTGATAAGGTCTAATCTTAATACACAAGTTGTGAATATGTCGATTTCCCCTTTCATCTAAGAGGTAATTTAAGTATTAGATTGTGCATTTTATTCTACCTCAATGACGTTTAACTTGAATTTCCCTTTATTGGCATTTACATTTCGATGAAAAGATTCTTGATTCATACAATGTTGATGGAGAGCATTATTGGAGTTCCTAGAATTTTTTTCTTCATTATCTAATGCACAACCTAAAGAATCAAGACATATGGCTTTATAGGAAAGTGCCATGAAATTAAAATAATATAATTTATTTGTATGACTGCAATGTTAATAGAGAATATAATCTTTTACACCCCAAGATAGGCTCATCTTAAATGGAATAATTGTTTCTCATTAGAGGAATTAATGATATTGTTGAAAAGATGTTGAGCTTTCAAAGAGCTTTGAGTTCTGTAGTAATTTTGTTTCTTAAAAATTTTAGGTTTTTACACAAGTTAGTGTATCCAATGACTATTAATGTTATCTTCAAATATTGATGTACTTTGTGGTTTAAAGTAATTTTTCTGTTGCCTAAGCTTTTTTTTCCAATAACCCTATCACCATAGGTTAACCAAGTAAAGATTTAATTACAATAATTATTATGATGAGCAACTTTGTGGATTTACAAGGCCCTAATAAAAAATATTTTTCTTATATATCAATAGTAGGAAAGTGGTGATTTTAGGAATACGGTTGAGCAAGCCATTAATTCATCCTAATATAGGTTATAATTGAAAATTAGAATAACTTGCACCAAGGATTAAAGAGGCAGTACAAATAGGTAGGTCCATATATGTATATTTCACAATTTGAGTGAATCAAGCAAATCATATGACAAAGTATTTACATAGGTAAAAATATTTAAACTGAAAGGTTGAAGAAATTGTTTAAGCACTCAAGTGTTAATGTTTGTATTCAATTACCAATGAGGGCTCTTTTAATAGTGAAGATTATTGAAAAACAAGAAAATTATACTTTGGATTTAAGGAGGAGAATTTATCTCGGTTTTCAAAAAACATCATGCTAGGTTCCATCTTTAACCAAAACACCCATGAAGCCTCTAATATTTATAGTTTTATACTTGAAGCCATTTGACCCAGTATATCATTGGTCATGTTCCATTTGGCCTAATATTGCACATGGCCAATAGTATGCCTAATTTAGGCACCTATGTACTTCATAATATTTCTTGGTTCTTGAAAATCAGGAAAAAACAATTCTTGACCCTAAAGCAATTGCTGTAAGGGCAAGTGATCATGCTTCTGGTGTGATAACTCTTATAATGTATTTTAGGACACTCAAGATCAGATAGGTCAAGGATATGCCTAATTAGGGCATGTATGTGCTCAATAACTTTTCTTTGTTTGTAAAAGTTAAGAAAAGTTATAAAGTCTCAAGTAGTGGTCAAATAGGTCATTTGGTCATATATCCTTTCATATTTGCTATATATTTTAACCTTTATAATGTATATTAGAACACTCATGGGCCAAAGCTAGGTCTAACTTGGTCATGTATGCACTCAATAACTTTATTTGCTTTGATAGTATTACTAGTCAAGAGTTACACAAAGTGGTGAATTTTGATAGATCCAAACACCAAGAAATGAAGAACATATCTCGTCTCTCAGATCACATCTAGCCCGGTGAATAATTTGTTGTGTCAAACTTCTTTGTTGCAACCATCTATTCATGCTTCTTACCCCATAGTATGGACTTACACACCATCTGGTATGAGGAGCGGAACTAAGATTTTTTCTTAAGGGAGCTAAAAAGTAGAAAACATGGATAAGGGGGGTGGGGATTTTCAAAGCATGGAGGGGGTTGAATTTTTTTCAATCTATGTAATTTACTCATATTATACTAGAAGGCAATGCGCTTATTATTGTTAACCTTCTGTGGGTGGTAGATTCTAATCCATCATGAATAACATTCCTTGTTACTGGCATCTCTTCAAATAACTGTCGCACCTTTTCAAGCTCTCCCCAATGAACATACCCAGAAATGATTAGGGCTGCAAATAACTGGGATCCAATCAAATTTGAATATGAATTTAATCTAATAAGAGGTGGATTTGGACATCTCTTTTCATCCTAATAAATTGGATCGGATCGGAAGAGTTGATCCGTTAACTTGATGTATCAATTTTGAGTATAGACCAATCAGATCCGCCATAACCCGATCTGATTAGCTATTATATATTTTGATATATTATTATATAGTATAAAATAAAATAATATATTATTTATATTAAATCATCAAATTTTTTTATTATAATTTTAATCAAATCGGATTCGAATCGTGCTCTTGAAAAATTGACAGATTCTTATCAGAATCAGACTAGTCAGACTTTCTTAACAAATCCGATCCGATCCATTTGCAATCCTATAGATGATTGAGTTTCAGGAAATTCATCTTTTTCTTACGTTATAACGTTCCTTCTTACTGGAATCTCTTCAAACAACTGTCGTACCTTTTCAGTCTCTCCCCTATGAACATGCCCCGAAATGATTGAATTTTAGTGAACATTTTTTTCTTACATTTCATTTAACATATGGTGAGCAGATTTGGTATGGGAGCACTTGTAATACATGTCAAACAATGAATTATTCACATAGAAGTCAGATTCAAATCCAAATTTAACAACACCAAAGTCTTCCTCACCTACATTGAGAAAGGATAGGGTCGAGAAGGGAAAACAATTTTAGAGATGTTTGAGGAAAGCCAATGTAAGTGAAATTGTTTAGTTTTACGCCTCCAATCATGGAGTTCCAACAGTATACTCAAAAGGTAAAACGATTTGGTTTAAGATAGAGCGAGTATAGTCAACATAACTGAGGTCGACTAGCTTTGCAGTGATTTGATAGATCTTAGGATCCGTTTGATTCATAGTTGGAACTGGAATTAGAATCGGAATCAAAATCTTTCAGAATTGGAATCGGAATGGTTCATTCCCATAATCTGTTTGGTTCAGACAGGAAAGAAAATGAGAACTAAAATCAGCAGGAATGGGATTTCATTCCCAAGGGAGGGGCAGGGAATGGCCATTCCCTCAAATGGGGGAATACCATTCCAGCAGGAATGAGAATGGGATTCTGATTCCGCCCAACCAAATAGTTGGAATCGGAATAGTCCATTCCGATTCCAATTCCAGACCCCTATTCCCGTGAACCAAATGGGGCCTTAGTGATAGTGACGGTGCTGCACGGGAGGGAATGAAACATGGAAGACAACACAATGACCACATATATTAGTCACTAAGGCTGCGTTTGTTTCCAATGCAAATACAAATATGTACCATGCATTTTTGGACACATCCCGGTTCATGAGTGCAAAGTCAGTTCAAGAGTTAGTATGTTTTTGCACTCTTCTCATTTGTTTGGAATTTATATAAATCAGGGCACAAATTTGCTGGCATTTGTTTGAAATCGATGCAAACTATGAGAGCAAACATAAATGCTCTAACTACCTAGTGTGCTTTTTCCAATAATAACCACCAGTCCAGGTGCAAGAAATCTGGACCATCCATTGTTATAACCATAGTGATAGTAAATGTGCATATGAGCTCGGCCTAATATTGTTTGAGGCCAATCGGTCGAGCTTGCCAAAATGGTTACAGTCCCGAATCCACAATTCAGCTAGTGGCAACTAATCCATACCAGTCTTTCATATACGAGAGGTTTCTTCTAGCGGAAATTGGCTTAAATTAGTGTGAAGGAATCCTTACAATTTTCGTGCAGGAGAGAAACATCTTCTTAATTCTATTTCAATCCTACACAAGAGCTTGCTTAGATAGTTAGAAGTTCCACACCATCATCGATTTTCTCTAAATCCAGGCTCGTACATAGACTTGTTTTCCGATCCATTATCCAATTTTGCATTGACTACATCTGTGGGTATTTTAAGCCCAACTGATTGAATTTGATTAAACAATGATAATTAGCACCTAGCTGATTAGAAGTTCCACACTCAACTTGTTTTCTGATCCATTATCCAATTCTGCATCAGCTACATCATTGTTCAAACTTTGCTGTCGTGACATCTTCACAATTTCTCTTCTTAGCAACTACTTCATTCTCACTGCATTGTATCCAACTCCTCTTCTCAACATCCACACCGCATTCTCACCGCATTGTATCCATATATCTGTTCATTTGTTAACAAATGAACTTTTGAAACATGGGTTGGATCTCCCTCAAATTAAGATGATGTAGACTATATGGGCAGACCCATATTTTGTTGAATATCAGTCCATATATCTACTCATCTGATAACAAATATGAGAATGATAACTATATCACTCTATATCTACTCATCTGTTGGATTTCCTTCCCATTCCTATTCAATCCATTCACATTTCATTCAAACATGAGATATTCTAACACACCCTAAACAATCCATCCACATTTCCTACTCAATCCATTCATATTTCATTGAAGGTACCGTCAGCCTTCAAACAATGATACCTGATAATAGTTTAGATTCACAATTACTAATCAATCCATTCACAAATCATTAAATGTCATGTCAGCCTTCAAACAATGAGGCTTGATAAATATAAGTGACCTGCTAAAAACTGATAAATATACAGTGATGAGATCAGTTTATCTGATCCGATAATGAACACATAGGATAGCTACATGAAAACAAATGATGAAATTTGGTTCCCGCTATAAGTGATCCATAATAGATGATAAAATCAGATCTGATAATGAAAATGATAAGTGACCCAACATGTGGTTCCTATTCAATATAAGTGACATGCTAATGATAATATGATAAAAAGGAATACATGAAAACAAACCCATGACCATAACAGAAGAAAACAAACACACACACCTAGTGTTTAGTTCAGTTGCATTTGAACCATCCCTATCTCTTTCTTTCCCTCACACATCTCTCTCTCTCTCTCTCACTCTCTTTCTCTCTCTCTCTCTCTCTCTCTCTCTCTCTCTCTCTCTCTCTCCATAACATTCCAAATGATTTGGCTAATTAAACAACCCCCATGCCACAATCCCAGTAAAGAATCCAATGATGCCTCCTATCAGATATGGCCTAATTGTTGATGTGGATGGCTCTACAACCAACTTCTCAAAGGAATATGTTGTATCTAGTTGTACTTCACAATACTTATAGTATACATCTTCAGTTTCTTCTCAACTGTTATATGAACAATAAGAATTCCCTCTGAACCCAGCAACTTGCTTTTGACACTCGGGCCATGAGTCATACACACCTGGCTTTCTCCCCTTGAACACAACATAAGATTTTTTCATCCTACACACTTCATCATTTTGACAAGCTTATATGAGTAAATTGCAAAGAAACAGACAGATTATGACATACTACAAACAAAGAGATATAGCAAGAAAGTTCCATTATATCAATAAGTCAAAAGTATCAATGTATAAATAAGTACTAAAAAGAGTGTTAAAAGCTACTATACCTACCACCAACTAGTTAATATATTTTATCAGCAAGTGCATCAACCTAAGTTATAACAAAAAAGAGTTGAAATGTTAAACTTCCATTGTCTAAACTTCATAATAAGAGAAGAGGTACTACTGCATTTCACCAAAACCAGTCATCTTAGATATGATGGATAGGACCATCTGAGCCCTAAATGGCTTGTCCCTTGCAAGGAAAATCTTTGCTTCCTTCTCATGTTCACCTAGGTACCCAAAGACAGTGTTCCAGACTTGGATGCCATACCCTTCCAAGTCCATAACTTCCTTCCATAAACGGTTTAAGAAATCCATCTCAGTCTCCACTGTAAGTGCAAATGCAATTTTTGATATTGTAATATTCATTCTGTCAATTGCATCAATAAAGTCCTGGTTGGGCTTCGGTTTTGATCCATGCACTCTTTTTTTTTTTTTTTAGCTTGAAGAACCTACACTCCGATTATTGTTGGAGACTGATTGAGTGCCATCTTCATAGATGAATTCATCAACAGTCAGTGAGGTTGTTGCCACATTATTGAACTCAGGGTCATCCTCTTCAGCACCATCAACATCAGCATTACAAACTCAGTCATGGAGTCAAACCTTACCATAGCCTTGTTACCCGTAGGCTGATCATTTCCCAGAACTGTTTTTATTTCCTCAAGCATCTCCATCACCTTGCCTTTAACACACAGTGCAAGTGGATTGGCCTGCATTGTAGATGGCATCATTACCAGTTGCTAATTTTTAAACATTAATTAAAGAACCAAATATGCCACATTTACCTTGATGTAATCATCCCAAACAACTGGGTCAGCTATGATTTGATTATTGGATTCATTCTAGCCGAAGCCACTAGTCCCGAGCAGCTTCTTGGCTTCCATGTATATGGGTTTTAATGTTCTCACTCTACTCTTAATATGGGGTGTTCTCATATCAATATTGAAGCGGGCAGTCATCTCCTTGCATACTGATGTGTATGTAGATGTTCGTAACCCCTTATCAATCTTATTGCCCAATGCTAATTGATCAACAAGTAGCTTAATCAATACCTTATCCACAGCATCATTCCATCTTACTTGTCGACTTCGATCACCCTTGCTGGACATAATTTGAAAGATAGACAACACATCATTTCCCTTATTGCCATCTTTCCTATTACTAATAGATGTTCTTGTTGTATCTCTACTAGAGACCATCCCTGGCCAAAAGTATTCTATTTCATGTAGTAAATAAATAACACATAGACATGTACATACATTATCATAAAGAAATATTGAAAATACCTCTAGTAATCAACAACATAAAAGTAAGTGTGCAATACAAAAATATGGTGTTTAAACAATATTGTTGATATATTAAACTATCTAACAAGTAAGTCA